GGAAATGGACATGGTGTAAACATGTCATTAGGCAGGCTGCAGCTCTGTATGTGTGTGTGAGACAGCAAGTGTGGTTTGAAGAGATGTTTATGGGGCCTTCAGTCAACAAATGCATCTCTCCGTTCTCTGATCAGTCTTTCAAGATTAGAGCTTCAGGCCTAGGGATGAGAGTCAGGAAAGGCTTGGGGGGGGGGCTGGAAGAACATTCCAGATTTTCAGCATTAATTAAGTTAGAAATTTGCTGTCTGCATACTTGCCCCCACCCCTCTGATCATCTTTCTTAATTTTTAAATGCAGGAGGCACATTTAGCCGTCTCCCACAAAGCTGTTGCGACTTTAGGAATTCCAGCTGTTGCCCAGCTCATCTTAATGACAGTGTTGAACAACCTGGCTGTGTGTGTGTGGGGGGGGGGGCTGTCTCTGACCTCAGACTCCATCAGAGCCCAGGCTCATAAAATACATGTAAATGGGCCACTGTGACATTTTTTTCCCTTTCCTTTAAAAAAAAAAAAAGTCAGACCTTGTCCCACGGAGGCCAGACTCCAGCCTAGGAGGATTGCACGTAAAGACGTTAGCAGCTGAGTTGAGATGGAGTGTTTTCACGTCTGGGATATATTGCTTTGTCTAACAAGGCGTCCCAGCAGGCTTCCAATTGTGGTGTCTCCAGACCCTCCCAGCTGCACAGGCTGATTGACAGACTGTGGGCAGATGCGGTGCCAAACTCCAATAAAGAGAGGGCCTTGGGAAAATCTAAGGCAATTATTGATGGGCAGCAATCCACTAATCAGACAATTTCAAAATTAATCCCATATTCCCTTACTGTATTAGCTTTCTTTCTTGTTTGTATTTATATAGCAAATTCATGACTTCAGTGAAAATTCTTCCCTCCAGCCCAATTATGTCTCTCCGAGGGCATTAAATTAAAAAACACGAGATATTGAAAGTGGCTTGCAATTAGTTCCTTTAGTTAAAGGTTCTGTACCTACTTAGCAACAGTGGGGTTTGTAACAGGATGTGTAATAATAAAAGTAAACACTCCTATTTTCTCCTCTCCTTGACAGGGCAAGGGGCTGGTGAGGGTAACATGCTGGCATTACTGAGGGCCAGAGATAATGGGTTAAATAATTGTGATTTGATTTTGGAGCTGATTATATTTGCATAAAATCCTGCTCAAATGCCTTGATAGGCTCCAATCCTTTCCAGATACTCTGCCCTCCTCCTGGCCGTGGTCCATCCGGGTGGCCTCCTTGGACTTTCCAGTGCTTCATTAAGGGTGTGGTATTTTTACAATCAGAACACACATAGCAAGCCCCAGCCAGTTTCTATTACAAGGTTTCCTATGCAGGGTCAGGTCCAAGTTGTGACAGGAGCTCTTTAAATACACAGTGAAATTTCACAGATTTTTTTTTTTTCCAGTTGCTTCTTATAGAAGTCAGTCTCGGGGCTGGAGAGATGGCTCAGAGGTTAAGAGCACCGACTGCTCTTCCAAAGGTCCTGAGTTCAATTCCCAGCAACCACATGGTGGCTCACAACCATCTGTAATGAGATCTGGCGCCCTCTTCTGTATACATAATAAATAAATAAATCTTTAAAAAAAAAAAAAAAAAAAAAAGTCAGTCTCTCTACTAACTACATCCACTCCTGTACCACCTTTTCCTACCCCTTTTTTTGTATTTGTTAGGTTTTGGGGCGGGGCACAAGACAGGCGGCATCCTCCTTTTGATACTGAAAAAGGTCCCTTGCACAGAACCCTTCCTGAATCTGTCACTCTCCCATCTAAAGTGAGGAAAGCCAAGGACGGGTACAGCGTGGAAACAGCCAGGGCCTCGCACTAGCATGGAGACTGGAGCTGAGCTCTGCTTTTCCTTGGAGCTTGGCAGCGCCTCCCTGGTATATTGCAGCCCGCCCCCGTCCTGTGCTTTGGCAGGAGGGCCTGGGGCAGCTCTGGTCCGACTTTGAGTTCAACAGCTTCAAGTACCATTGGATGCTCTTCCCCCTCTGATGCCAGCCCTGGCTACTGGTTTGAAAATACTGAACACTCATGGCAGAAATCCTCCCTGTAGCCAGACTTGCCTTGTGGGCCTCCAGCTCACAAATAACGACATGAAGACTTACGGCTTTTTTTTTTTTCACTTTTATAAAGGCTTGTCCTATTAGCTCTTAGTACTTAAATTAACCCATATTTTTATTCATCTACATTCTACCGCGTGGCTTTTCCCTTTCTCCCATTCTGTGTGTCCAGCGCTTTCCATGTCTCAATGGCGCCTGTCTTGCACCTAGATTCACCTCAAGTTTCCCCTCCCTGCCCAGAAGCCCCGCCTATCTCTCTTGCCTAGCTATTGGCCATTTAGCTTTTTATTAAGCCAATCAGAAGGTGCCTTAGGCAGAGACACATCTTATATTCTGTGACACCTCCCTCCCATGCCTGGAGTGACATTGGTAACCAACCATGAAACTCCTTTCTAGAAACAGTCTCAGCAACTTGGAACCCTGGGTCTAGATGATTGCAGTATCTGGAGCACCAATCAGCTGGGTCAAGGAAAAGGAGGAGATGTAAAGATGTTGAGGATAGTGAAGAGGACTTTCCATTACAGATGTTGGGATGGAGAGTGGGAGGAAGGGAAGAAGAAGAGAATGAAAGGATAGAGTGAAGAATATCCTGACTGCATGGGGAACCAGCACTCAAAGGGGGTTATGAGGGCAATATTGGGAGGAGACTCTTACGCCCCAGATCTCTCTACCAACACTCAGAGTGGCATATACCCTGGCCAGGACCAAGTCCCTTATCCAAATGCAGATGCTAGGCTCAACTGTCTGTGCCTTTAGTCCAGTCTCAAAGACCCCGGCCCTGAGGCTTGCTGGTCACTTGCAGAGCTTTCCTGATGCCATTGTCTGTGGGTCTCACGGTGGTCATTTTTAGATGCCTGGTCTATCTCTGGAGTCCTGTGTTAGCGCTCTGTTGCTGTCATAGAGGGATCAGCTTAAGAGGAGGTTTAGCGTGACTGAATAGTTTTAGAAGTTTCAGTACCTGATTCACTAGGCCTGGAAGTGCATGGAGGGGTAAGCTGCTTCCCTCCGACGGTAAAAGAGAGACAGGGAAGAGGCCAGGAACAAACTGTACTCTTTAAGAACACACTCTCAATTACCCAGTTTTTCCAACCATGCATCACCACCACCACCACCACCACCACCACCACCACCACCACCACCATTTAGCCCATGAAGCCATCCAGATCAATGGGTGAATCCATTCGTGAGATGAGAGTCTTCATGATCCCGTCACCTCTCAGAAGCCTGCCTCTGAAGATGGCTCCACTGGTGCCCAAGGCTGTATGGCTAAGAGTGTTTAGTCCAAACCACCACACCCTTCCGCAAATATCATTGGAGACCTATTTCCCTGGTCACTACTGCGAGCTCCCAGACCGGCTGGGTGTCGATGCCACGTTCCGCTGTTACATTTGGCTTCCTCCCAGGAGCTTCTGTGTCATGGCTGATGCACCCACTTCCGGGCTCTACCCCTATTCTCCTGTCCTCGTGACCAAGCAAAGAGATGGATCACCTGGAAGGTGAGGAGGATAGGAAGCCATGCCTTTGCGTTGGTGCTAATCTGAGGAGCGGACATGACAAAGTTCCTCAGAGGAAACCGCAACCTTTTTCTCCCCTAGAAAGTACCTCATGAGGGCCACATATACGGCTCAGCAGGAGAAGGCACTTGGTGCCAAGCAATGTGAGTTCAGTTCCTGGAATCCACGTGATAGAAGGAGAGAACCGACTTCTACAAGCTGTCCTCCGACCTCCACATGCGCTCTCTCTCTCTCTCCCTCTCTCTCTCTCCCTCTCTCTTTCTCCCTCCCTCCCTCTCTCTCTCACACATACAGATAGATAGATGATAGATAGATAGATAGATAGACAGACAGACAGACAGACATGTGTATGTTTAAAGTACCTTACAAGAGTTACAAAATGACTAGGCTGGAGCTGAGGGTGTCATTTAGGGGTACAGCACATACGCAGCCCACATACCAGATGACTAGGACAGTTCAGCACTTCAAGACCCGTGTCCCGTGAGAACTACTAAGAGAACTCACTGAGAAGGGGCCGAGGTTACAAGTTAAGACGAAACAGAAGCCGCCTCAAGGAGAGTGAGCAAGAGTGTTTCTGAACAGCCCTCCAAGTGGGATGAGACCAGTGAGCCGAAGGTCTGATTTATCGAAGGCTATGGTTCCTAAAAGGCAGGAATTTCTAAAGACAGGCTTTTGCCAGCCGGTGATGACAACATTGTCCCCCTGGGGTTCAGGCAGAGGATGTCACTTCGGAGTCTGGGGTGCACAGGACAGCATTGGTGACTTTAAGTCCACTCTCAGCCTTAGCAAGAAACAATTTGGTGCTACCGAAAAAGCAAAAAAATACAAAGTCACTATTTCTGTAAATGAGATCACCTTTTATCCAGATAACGGGGCTGGGGTGGGGGTGGGGGGGGCGGTGTCTGGATTTTAATCCTTCTCCATCACCTCCCAGTTAGAAGTTTTAGTATGAACTCCTCCGTGCATGTCACTGGCCCATTCCTCACACAGCGACCTCCACGCCCCCTGGCTGCTCACAGTCACTGCCTCTCAGGCCCACGAGCAAGTGTTTTGTTTGTTTGTTTCAGCTTTTCATGCAGACACCTTGTACCTTTGCACTCTTCCTCAGGAAGTCTGGGCGACTTGTCACTGCCCACACGATGGCCCTTCCTCCTCCCCCTGCTGCCTGTGGCCTGGTGACTCTTCAGCCACTGCTGCTTCTCTGTCCTTGGGACCCCAGGCAGCCCATGATCTCATGGCTCCTTCACACGCGCTCTCCCTTGGCTTCCTCCTTTCTCTCAGCCCGCATCCCAACACCCAGATCAGAGAACTCTCGTCGCTCTTCCAGCTTCTTTACATCTGGCTTTAATTTAATTTAATTTTATTTTTTTGACCCAACAGGTTGGGTGCCCCTAGAATCTCATTCCTTCACCTTTATGTGTGAAAGGTGCGGACCTTCACGAGAAGCCGTCTAAGTAGAGCAGACGTACAGGTCAAAGGGAAGAGACTGACATAAACAAACAGGGACTTCCTGTCCCCTGTGTTTGCCGTGGTTAATGTCAAGGTCAGCAGCGGCAGGTGAACTCTGGGGGAAGCGAAAACCGGAAGACCCATTTCTCAGAATCTCTGTGTGTGAAACTGTGTCTCTGACCTGGGGGACACGTCTCTGGAGGCCCACAGAGTCAGGAACGCCGTGCATGTGGAGGACGCTAAGGGCTTGGGACTCTGGAAATGGCTCCTGGTTATGCTGATGTGAAACTCCACTGGTCAGCTGGTGTCTGGTTGGAGGGGAAGCAAAAGGCACCAGAGTTTGAAGGCCAGAGCATCAGTGCAACCTCGTCCTCTTAGCTGAGGGATCCTGGCTGCGGGCTTTCACGTCTCAAAATTTGCTTCCACAACTGCAGGCTCGTGGCAGCAAAGGATGGCTTCATGGCTGTCTCGGGGACCAAATGAGAAGGTGATTTGCAAATTGTAAAGTATTAGCAAAAGTTTTATAATGCACAGGCTTTGCCTTTAAAAAGTTTTTTTTTTTTTAGTTCTGGTCTCAGACAACAAGCTGGTGAGGGGGTCTTGTGTCAATGCTCACATGGGTGCAGCAGGGGTGAAGGCTGGGTGTGGGTCACGGGGAGGACAATACGTTCTTTTTGAAATTGAGATACACTCCACGTAGTATAAAACTCACTGCTTTAGGGCCTATATTTCAGCAGCTTTGAGTCTAATTCCTTCTATGGACAAACTCACCACTAATTCCAGAACAGTTTTATCAACCCAAGTAGAAACTCCATGTCTGGGGCTAGGCCTGTAGCTTGACTGATAGAGGGGTTTTCCTTAGCATGCCCAAAGTCTGGGTTCAATCCCTAGCACCACATAAGCTGGGCATGGTAGTGCATGCCTGCGATATCAGCATGAGAGATGGAGGGGAGAGGATCTGGAGTTCAAGGCCATCCTCAGCTACATAGTCTAGACTGATCTTAGACCCTGTCTCAGAAGAAGAAAGATCAAAAAGAAACCTCATGCCCATTGGTGTGATCCAGAATTGTAGGGAAAGAGGATAGCAACCATGACTCCATTTTCCTTCTCTATGGATTTGTCTCTGCTAGACATTTCATATAAATGGAGCCACAAACTATGGTACGTTTTTTGCTAGGCCAGTCAGAACAGGCTAAAACCACACCCGGAGGAATCGCCGGATGTAGAGCGCTGTGAGGGTTAACTGTTTGCTTTTTGAGACAGGAACTTGCTATACATCCAGGCTGATCTTGACCTCACAGTCCGTGCCCCCCCCCCCCCCCCGTCTTGTTCTCGCAAAGGCAGGATCAAGGGTGTGCAGCACCATGCCCTGTTCCACGTTTCTTTGTGAGGAAATTGGGAGACCTTTCCACAGGAGCTGTACCACAAGCATACCCACCAGCAATGTCTGAGGTGTCTCAATGGCTGGGCCAAGACTGTTATTGTCCAGTTTCCTTTATTATCGTTGGCCTATTCTGATTTGGATTTTCATTTCCCAAATGAGGTAATCAAATATTTCCTCCCTCCCTCCCTCCCTTCCTTTCTTTCTTAAATAAGCTCTCACCATGTAGCCCAGGCTGGCCTTGAATAATCCTGATCCTCCAGTCAGCCTCCTGAGTGCTAGGATTATAGGTGTGTGCTACTACAGACAATTCAAACCCAACATGTTCTTTTTATGTAACATTCTGGGGATCAAACCCAGGGCCTTGAACATTTAATCTTTTTTTTTTTTTTTTTTTGAACATTTAATCTTAACAGAAGTAAGCCATTTAGGGACTATCTTCAAAGCAGCCCAAAGGCCTCTATAGAAACAGAAGGCTTGAGGTTTTTTTGGTTAGTCCTCACTCTGCTCAAAGTAGCCAATGCCAAATACGCTTCTGTGTTCCAAAGACAGTGAGTGCTACAGACTTGGGGAGGGGTGGGTGGGTGGGTAGTGCCACTGTCCCATCTGACAGCTGTGGAAGCGGAAGCTTAGAGATGCCAAACAGCCCTCCCAAGGGTGTGACAGCGAGTGACAAGGTGACTTCGAGTCACGTCCCAATCCAGGCTCTTACGCACGATGCCGTAGTGACCCTCTGTCAGAGAAACAAGCTGTGCAAAATTCAACACATGGGGCCGGCAAGGCTGCTCAGCAGGGAAAGGTGCTGTCCCCAAGTCTCATGACCTGAATTTAATCCCCAGGACTCACATGGTGGAAGACGAGAACCAATCCCTTTCCCATATAATTAAATAAAATGTAGTAACTTTTTTAGAATTCAGCAAAGACTTCCCAAGTAGCCCCTGCATGCCTAAACCTGTGCCTTCGGTGAAACTGCTTCCTGAGGCCGCTCAGAGGCTGGAGAGTTCTGTGTTTGCTGGTGATTTTTGTAGAGTGAAGAAATGAGTTTTATAATTTTTATTTGATTTAGCCCTCAAGTTGTTAACACCTCCAGTATGGGGGAGCAGGGAGGCTCGTCTATAAATATCAACTCCCAACGTCAAAATGACGCTTTCATCTCCAAGGGCTTAATTAAGCCGTTGACTGGGGAAGGATCGACACCTCCTCGTTGGTGACAAAAGACATGTCTGTGGGTGGGAAGGGCTGTCCAGCCACTACTCCTGCAATTTGTAACCTTTGGGAGGACAGAACTAGGCATCCTGGGTGGTATGGGGATAAATCTACCCCAGAGCAGCCTCCCTGCAGGCACTCCGGGAGGCACCCGACCTCTCTGTACTGGACAGAAGTCAGAGCAACAGCAGACACATTTGCTGACAGTGCCACTTACAGAGGTAAACTGAGTCTGGCAGCCATGGAGTGTCTGTCTGGGGTCAGAGGACTCTGGTAAGAGAGGGCCACAAGCCGCCTTCCCAGAGGAGAGATGGAAAAGTCAGTCCCTTGCTGTTGGGATGCTGTTGGGATGCTGTTGGGATGCGTCAACCCGTCACTGGGGGCGGTTTGGAGGAACTGACCCCGATCGCAGGGAACGGGCTTGTTCTATAGAGAACTCGGAACCGGTGCTGAGAGTGAGTCAAGTACCCAGCAGTTTAAGCCGGGGCGTAGAACCTCACTGTAGAACTCAGTGGGGCAAATGGATTTGAGGGGTGAGGGGAGCAGAAAGGATCACAAGCCTGGAGAAGAGGCTGCCTCGGCAGAGCCGGAGAGCGCTGTGGGAGAGGAAAAGAGAGAGGCATTAAGTCTGAGAGCAGAAAAGGAATGAGTGATGCGGGCCGAGAGACAAGGGAGGTGAAGTTGCCACTGCACAAAGTCGGGTGTCCTCTGAGGGGATGACATCGCCGGAGCTGTGGCCAAGCTGTTCAAGGCTCAAAAGTGATGATACCATCCTGCAGTCACCAGCACCAGCAACTGCCTTTGAATCCAATATTAGGCCGCCAGCTTTCTCGGAAAGCAAAATGCAGACGTCTGGTGCACGTCCATGCTTCCGAGTCAGCCTCAGGAGAGGCCAGAGCTCCGTTGCCCAAGGAAGATGAGGACGTTGGAATCTGCTCTAGGGGTGACCCAGAGTGCCAGGGGCTCATCACTACTACACAGATACACACTGAGCATCTACCTGCCTTCAGGTGCTCAGGGAGCAGGGGAGGGCTTATGCAGAGGGCACCTGTAGACAGACAGGGTTGAAGCGGGCCAACAAGACTGCATCCTGCAACATGTGCTGCAGAGAGAGTGGGAAAGAGAGAATCTGGGACCAAGGTCTGGAAGAGGGCGTTTTCACCGGCCCCCAAGTCATCCGAAGCACTGAGAACTAGTCCAGAGTCCTGGTTGACCCCAGCTCCCCACTAAAGCTCCGAGGAAGCTCCCCACAGCCTGCCTGCCCCAGACACTGCATCTCAGAAGGAAACCAGCCACTTCCGATCTAAATGTTAATAAAAATGAAATCCCTGAGCAGTCACCGAAATTAGCGGGGGTATGATTGAAATGCCAAGGCAGGTCTTGTTATTTTTATGAAGCCGTGAATAATATAAGTATCCAATTGATAAAATGTTATTAAAGCTGACAGCCCTTAAGTGATCTAAGTGGTAAATATTGAAATGAGGTCTCTGCAACACTGTTTGCCTGGGGGGGCCTGCAGCCGTAATAAGCCTTGAACAATGATTCCACAGGCTCTGGGGGCCTGCAGAGCTTGGGGGGAGCAAACGCTCTCTCCCTCCTAAATAATTAAACCAGGATTCCAGGGATGGATCGCAGGTCCTTGTAGCGGTTTGTTAACGTCCAAGGGAGCTGCCTGCAGGCAAGGACTCTGTAGGGATGGCTTTCCCCCAACTGGGGGGCAGCAGGCAGCAGGGACTAGGCTGGCTCCCCTCCCGCGGACCCCAAGGAGCCTGTGTGGAGTGAGCTGCATATTTTAGTCTTTATTTATAATATAAACAGACTGGTGCACCCTGAGGGCAATGGATGGTTGATGAGCAACGGGGCTGCCACGTGGGTTTAAGATTTTATTAGCACTGTTTAGGAAAAACCACCAAGGAGAGCAATTTAGAAATTCGGTATCATCGTGATCATTGGATCCTTAAAGACGAGTGAAAGGCGTCTTCCTGTGCTCTCTCTCGGAACAAGCAGGCAAGGCTCTGTAGAGTCTCTCATTCCATTCTTAGCTCAGGGCCAGCTACGCTCAGGTCACCGGGGTCTTCTGCATGTGGGCAGAAAGGGAGACTAGGGAGTAGGGTACTTCTTCTGGGGTTAGAAGAAGCAAGCGGGAAGCTGGTCTGTGAAGGCAGGGGCATGGAGATGTAAGGTAGAATCACCGCAATGATGTATGGACAGTAGAGGTCGTGTAGTCCTAGTCACAGGTCTAGCTTCAGCTAGGCTGTGTCGTGCCCCTGCAGGGCCTGTTAGGAAGTGTGGATAGGGGACATAGGGTCTTCCGATCCTGAGAGCCCTGCTCTGGATGGTGACACTGCCCTCGGACACCAGGGCTGGGGGAAGCTGGGGAAAACTGGCTTTGAGTTACCAACATTCATGCGGAGTTCCCAGGGTCTTTAAGTTGATGGGTGTCCTCACTTGAGCCAAGAAGCCAGTACTGAGAGACTAAGGAGGGTCTGAAGTCCTTCCGGTTCTTGGGTAGGAAACTGAAATTATGATGATTCAAGAGTTATTTTCATGATAGTTTTCAGAATCTTTTTTATAAGTAAACTCAGGCCCAGAGAAGGCAAGCAGTGTGCCCAGATGTGACAGCAATACCCCCTGCCCCTCTATATCCCCCCACTCCTCCACCTCCCACCCCTCAGCTCTGAAAACAAGTACTGCTGACTTTAGGCTGAGGGAAAAAAAATTTTTTTTTTCAAAAACTCTCTTTCTCCTGGTCTTGAGTTGGACTGTTCTTTCCAACCAACTGCTGCTTTTGAAACCTCTTCTGGGTTCTCCTGAAGCTGAAGAGGGCCCTGTCAAGCTCACCTCTGGGCCATGCCGCTTTCTGCAGGGCCCTCAGGAGTCAGTGCACAGCTCAGGCTTTACTGGGAGCTGCCGCCTCCTGCCCAGTGCGGAGCAGCTCTTCCCAAATGGTCGCTCCTGCTCTCAAGTGTGGCACCACCTTCCGGAAACGGTAATTGCTTTCCTGACCTCTGACCCTCGACACCAGACAATGAAAGTAACACTGATCAGCATAGGAATTCCTCCCTACATGATCCAGGTCTTCCGTACCTGTGTGATGATTTAGTTGTTGTGAACAAACTCCTAAGACAATTGGCGTAAGGGTGGAAGAATTTACTTTCGTTCACGGTTTCAGAGTGTTCATTCAGGTTACGCTAGCTCGACCTCGTGCTTGGGCAGAACATCATGATGGTCAGAGTCTTTACCTCATAAGATCAGAAGTTTGAGACAAAAGACAAGGTACAACCTTCAAGGACACACTGCCTGGGACCTCCTTCCTCCTTCCTAAGGTTTCATGACCTCCCAAAACAGGGCCACTAGCAGGAGACCAAGCATTCGACACACGAGCCTGTTGGGGAGATTTTATATTTACATTCATCAATTCACACCCAGGCTCACTACTGCCCCACGAGTGGGCAGGGTAGGTTTCTCCAGGTGGCAGTTAGAATTCTAAGCGATGGCAGTTAGAGTTCCGGACAGAAACGGAATTCTAAAGCAATGGATGTGAACTTAGCTTTGTTTCCCAAACTGGTACCAAGCTATTCTTTCTCCCATGACCCTCTAGTGGTTGTTACTGCTGAGGGTTAGAGTGGCCCAGGGAATGTGATGCTGAACACCAGACCTCACATAGCAGAATTCTGTCTGGAGGGGTGGGTGTTCTCTTGTATATATAACCTAGTGCCCCAGGCCTCACCTTAGAGGCCATTGTTTACCTCTGAAAAGGGAGATTATGGGGTATTTGAAAGGCATAAATGCAAGTTCTTTCGTGGGTAGGCAGTGGCTTTGGGGAAGACGGAGCAGTTGGCAAGTGCATTTGAACAACAGTGAAAACTTCCAGCTCCAGGTATCTCGCTCACGTGTCTTGGTGCCTCTTTAGGCCTCTGTAAACAGCAAATCGACTGAGCGTTGGTCTTGTTTTCATAGCCGTCCTGCACACTGGGAGTATTGGATGAAGCAGACTTTTTATTTAGTTCCTGACAGGTAATTAAATTTTGCCTCTACATTGGTTTGCGATCCAGCCAAGAAGCCAGGAGTAGAATTCTGAATGGCCCTGGCTATTTTCTGGAATATTACAACTTAATTTTGCTTCTCAAGTTGCAAGCAGGGGTTTCAATACCGTGGAAAGCTTGACTCACGCTTGGGGCTCCAGGTTGGAGAGTTCATTTTTTCCAACAGGAGTTGTTTCTCTTTCTCGAACATGTAAAAGCCCCATTTCTACATTCTTTCCAGAGTGACAAACTGTGGGAAAAACAAAAAGTTACAGAATTAAGAAAAACAGCACCTGGCGAGAAAAGGAATCGGATGCCTTCCACAAGACCTGTTTCTTTAGGAATCGGGATTTACTCGACGACAGAAAGTTCTGGAATCTGTGTTCACTGCAAATGGAAATAAGCGTTATCAGGCATCTGGGAGTTTCTGTAAAGATCTTGTGGGACTGGGTGTACAGGTAGGGTCTACTGGCCTGATGGGTGACCTAGGTCATGATGGTGTATTTCCCTGTGCACCTGGACCACCACCTGACCCCCAGCATGGTGGCAGCAGCTCGCTGGCCCTATTCCTTCCTGGTGTTGGGTCTAATCATACCCCTCACCCTAAGAAGACATGAAAGAAATTCTAGGGCCTGTGAGATGGCGCAGTGGGTGAATGCACCTGCTGCCAAGCCTGACGACCTGAGTTCAAGCCCCAGGACCCACATGGTGGAAGGGGACCCCTGCAAGCTGTCCTCTGCTCACATGCATGCATCACATATGCACCCCTCCCATGCACACACACAAAACAAAAGGTAAACTTTTTTAAAAGAAAAGTAACCAGAGATTCTTGCCTATAGGCGCAGGCTTCCTTGAATGGTCATTTCCTGAGTTCTGTCGGGGCAAGGTCTAAGACATCTTTAGAATCCTCTTGGCCCAATGGCCTGCATTTTCACAGGGATGTCCAGGTTTATCCTGTCAGCACGCAGTGACTACTTTCAATATGAGGAGATGTATCTCCTTAGTATTCAAAAATTTCTAGTACCTCCTCCCTCTGAGTCTGCCTTCCTTCCTTCCTTCCTTCCTTCCTTCCTTCCTTCCTTCCTTCCTTCCTTCCTTCCTTCCTTCCTTCTTTCCTTCCTTTCTTTCTTCTTTTCTTCTTAGTAACGTGGAGAATCTATTGAATGTGTTTGCATTAGTCAACCTATTCTCCAGGTCTCTTAAACTGCATATATAATTTATTTTTCTTTACATGCTGACTTACCATTTAAGACAGGGTCTTACATTATGTAGCCCTGGGTGGCCTAGGACTCACTATACAGACCAGGCTGGCCTCAAACTAACAGATTTCTGCCTGCCTCTGCCTCCCAAGTTCTGGGATTAAAGGCGTGCGCCACCATACCTGGTTACATGCTGAATTTTGAGAACATGTTTTGTGTCCATGCTGTAATTGACCATTTTTCTCTTTAACTTTACCCATCCCATGTAGAATTGATTTTATTCAATTTAACAATTTCGTGAGCTAGAGGCTTTGGGTTTTCTTCATTTTTTTTTCTCTCTGTCTCATCCTAGTTTATCTTCCTGTTACATAATTTTTAAATATTAATTTTCTTTTACCTCTTGACCTAAATGTATTTATTCCAAATTGCTTTGAATTCTCAATTGTTTTTTATTTCATTTGAAGTAAATTCCTTTCCTCATGGGCTTTTTAGGAAGTTTCTGAGGGTTAGTTTTTCTCCTTGATTTGGAATTTTTGCTGGCAAGCTTATTTTGAATGCGATTTCTCTCCTCCACCCACTTCCTCCCTCCTTCCCTCCCTCCCTCCCTTCCTCCCTCCCTCCCTTCTTCCCTGTCTCCCTCTCTCCCTGTCTCCCTGTCTGTCTCTCTCCCTCCCTCCTTCCCTCCTCCCTTCCTTCCCTCCCTCCCTCCCCCCTCCCTCCCTCTCCGACCTTGCATTTACCTCCACTGAGCGGTTTTGCAGGGATCCTGTGCCCTGTCCTAAGTGTCTCCTTAAGCCTAGTATTTATGGCTTGGGTCTCCTACCCTGATGCTATGGGAGCTGGGCCTGGGTCCTGACTTCAGCAAACATTATTTCCCCGACCTCTCCAGGCAAAGTAGAACCTGCAGCAATACTCTTGAGTGCGATTTTTTTCTGCCTCCCTCTTGAGTAGGGAAGCCCTCAAGCAGCCCCTGATGTTCTAAATCATGGTTCTTGATGCAGTTTTGCCTCTGTGGACCGCATTCTGGGCCTACTGACCTGCAGGAGCTAATTAATCTGTTGTCTGTTTGCTAGCATGTCGTCCTATGTAGTGCATATTCTCGGTGGTATTTATCTGGGTTTGAGCTATTGGGCTCTGTCTTTGTGTTCTTGCTCATATTTTAGCTGAAGTTATTGTCTTTTGCAGCACAGAGGCCTCCAGGTATGATCAAATAGCAGCAGATTGGTGGAAAGTTCTGGAGAACAGCTTCCGATCTTTGCACAAAGATACAGGAAAAGGAATTCTCATGTCCCCGCCTCTTCAGTGAGTTCTGAGGCACAGTGATTGCCCAGGGTTGCTGGAAAATGTCAGCAAGTACTTGGTTTGAAGGACAGGAGAGAAAAGGCACGTGGCTGAAACAGAAGCAGAATTCTGGAACCTTCATTGTTGGAAGGAACATCAAAAGTCTTCAGATCTTACCTTTTGCTCCCTGTCCCATGATTCTACTCACAGCATGACAAGGGCTTGTCCACATTTGGTAAGGCTCTCCAGGGGAAGGGCCTCCACCTGCAGACTTCTACGTCTCTGAGTCCTCTCCTTCCCTTACCCACCTGAAGGCTGTCTCCCCGTGGTCCTCCCAGGGTGCCATATGGGAAAGCTCAAGCATTCTTCCACCTGGCACATGTAAATGTTCAACACTTGCTCTCCACAATTATTCCTGAACACCATGAACCCACCCCAATTCCCTGCGCATAGCTCATCCCATGCTTTTCCCCAGAAGTCCTATCATCTGGCTGTCTGCTTCTGCTGCCTGGAGTTTTCTGGCAGCCTCTCGGAACGGGAATGGGACCCACGGCAGCCCCCACTTGCGCCCGCCTGCCAGCGGCAGCCGAGGGGAGAGCTGCTAAGAGCAAGACCAGAGCTAACTCAGCCTTTCCTCTCAGAAGCCAGTGTGACTGGGGATTCAGGAAGCATCCGCTTTAGAGCAGATCCAGCCTGCAGTTCCAGGCTGAGTGGGCGAGGACTGAGAGATGGCCTGGTGTTGCATTTGGTATGTGTGGATTGGCACCTCCTGAATCCTTAGGTTCTAACCTAGCCTTGGGGATGAGGTGCACTAGTTTGGGTGTATGGGAAACATTCCAAAGAGTCAGTCTGAACTTGGGCCTCGGTTATACAGGGCTATTCTTGGTCTAGTCTTCTGCTACCTAAAAGATACTGAGCTCCAGCTCATCAACCAAGCAGAAAAGCTTCCACAACAGTAGCAGCTAGTCTACTAATGTACTTCTAAAACATTGTATGTGTGTGTTGTGAGTGGGGGCACGTGCATGCCACAGTGCTTGTGTGGAGGTCAGAAGGCAACTCTGGGGAGTTGGCTCTCTTCCTCCCATGGGTTCCAGGGATTGAACCGGGGTAGTCAGCATTGCATGGCAAATACTTTTATCCACTGGGCCATCTTGCCAGGTCTCCTGTAGGTTTCTTTAACTCACAGAGCTGTGATCAGAATTGCATTGGTTTGATCAGTATGCACCGGGCACATGTGCTGAAATGTCATGTGGACCCCATAAATATCTGTAGTTTTTACGCGTCAATTAAAAACAAAACCAACAGTTGGAAAGTTCTCAGATTTTGTTATTAGGATGTTTAAATCCCAGTTCATCTACCATATACCATTAACTTATGATGCCTACAATTTCTCTGATCCTTTTTCCTTTCTGAGTCTTAATTCGTCTTGTGTAAAATGGATTTAATTGTGTGCATATGTGCATGTGCACATATGTGTATGTGTGTGCGCTTGCTTCACTTTTTCAAGTCTACCCCAAAGGATAGATGATTTTGCATTAGAAAAGTGTTAATATACCGTCAACATTTATCTAATATTCTTTTCCTTTAGTTACGCTCCAGTTTCTTCATTTTATTTTTCAGGAATGATGATGCTTCAATCACGGCTTCTTCAGAATCAAACAAGATCATTTGGAAATCACAAAACAGTATACAAAAATTTTCATCCTCATCATTAAGAGACATATACGACATGGTCTGGGCTACCTTTCCAGCCCAGAGGAGCCAGAGCCTAATGCCTGCCCACCTTCTTCAGAGGCCAGTAAGGGAACGGAGAGAACAGAGGTGGCTGCGGTTTTTCTCCAAGTGGACAGAGTTGGACATGAGGTCTTTTGTTCATGCCTTTATTCAAGTCTCCCTACTAGGGACTTCCGAAAGGTGTGAAGCAATGTTCTATGGGTCTGAGAAAATAAATCCATCCCAGAAATCGGTGCATGTATGGGTGTTTACGACAGATAAGTCTGTTCTTCACTCAACCATGATCTAGAGAAAAGATATTCGACCCCCTCCATCTCTGTCTCTCTCACTCCCTTGACAGTTCACTGAGTAGCCCTGGCTACTCTCAAAACCATCATCCTCCTGCCTCAGGCTTTCAAGTGCTGGGATTACAGGTGTGTGATGTCCCTTTAAAGTTGGGATTTTTAGAAGAAAAGAAGAGACAATGGAAACAGGCAGGCAGGGGAGCCATTTTACAAGGCCTTCAATTCTGCATGTGTGGACAGCTTCTCACAGAATGATAGCAGGGCAGTGTCCAGGATCTGTAAAACCCTGAGTTGGTTTTAGTGTATCAGGTCTGGTCTGTATCAAGCTGGTCTGAGTGTATCAGGAGGCCTAAGGGGATGGCCAGAGATTTGAGGGCCAGCAGTGAACAGACCAAGGAGCCTTGCCAGGCAGGCTCTAGAGGTGGGAGCATTCCACATAGGGGTGCCAGGCTGATTCTTTACAGGCAGGAGCCAGTGACGGGTGCTGCCGTTTCTCCAGGGCTGAAGGTGCGGGGCTGCTGAGCACATTTGCAGATTTGCAAGCGAATGTGTGTGCTTTATAAACGGAGCGGACGCCTTATGTTTCTGATTGATGGGCCATCAGCTGCACAGTTGTTGGGCAGTGATTGACTTTCCAACCCAGCTGCTCCAGCTGTACCACAGATGCTCCTTGTCTGAAGTCAGAGGGCTGGTGCCGTAAGCCACGGAGAAGATCCCTAATTGGAGTGATCCCTGAGAAATCGGCCATTGTGATGGCTAACAGCCATTAATTTGAGGCTTTCCTTGGGGTGCTAAAGTACAAGCTCTCCCTCGGTAATTGCCATCCCCAACTGGATTGGTGCCATTTTGAAACTCACAATGATGCAGATGGGGCCAGGCTGAATCTTAACTCCTGCATGCTGTGCTGAGCCAAAACTCAATTTGTAAAATTGTATCTTATTTTAAAATTCAAAATTAATGCGTGGTCTTAAAACACACGAAAAGGTGAAGGATGACGGTGAAAGTCAACCGCATTCTCATAATTAGGGGGCAACAGCAGTCTAGTATTTGGGTATGTTTTTCTTTGGTGATTTTATTCTATGTGAGTGTGACCTAAATGTTTTCAAAGTTGGGAATCATACTTCAAACATAATCTTCTATCTCCAGTTTTATCTTTATAATTGGGAATGCAATCTCTGCCCTTGAATAAAAATAAAGTTGCTGACAAAGCAAACAATAAAAAGGTTTGCTTGTACTCAGGGCAAGAACTGCTTAACAACAGCCTGGGCGAGGATAAGACTGTGGAAGATAATGGAGACCTGGCACGTAAAACTGATTCAGTGGCATTCAGAGTATACGAGGTACCAGATCTAAAAAACAGTGGGACAAATGTCCGCCCACCTGTTTCACAAAGTGATGCAGAATCATACCATGTGAGGTCATTGGAAACAATCATGTAATCAAGTATTATCATTATGACTTAAGATAGGAAAAGGTCCTAAGCCTGCCAACTGCACACATCTGTACTGTCTGGTTAATTAGAGATACTCCTCATTCATGAGAGCAGACCGGAGGGCTACCCATGCTCAGCACTCTCCTGGGGTTTGAAGACCTTTTCTGCCTGCAAGTAGGCTTGGGCCAGTAGCTCTCTGGACTCTTCCGGCTCCAACCACCGCCTTTGCTGGTGAAGAACGGCCAGGTGCTTCTTATGGTCCTTCCCGCTTTGTCCATACAGTGACTTGGGGGATATTTTCTCATACGCCTGTGGCCGGAACAAACCGCTTCAAAACAACAAGGTTTCCTTGAGACTGTGGAGAGAGGAATATAGAGGTGGATGCTTCCTGTCAGGGACGCTGTCCCGGGTAGCATGAAGTTCAAAAGGCTCCTTCGATCTGCAGACCTGAGCAAAGGGGTGGGGTGGCCTTCAGGTGCTGACTCCTCCAGAGTCTCTCTTGAAGACAGTTTATCTGCATATTGCTGTGGCGAGTGAGCCCAATCAACACCCAAGCCAGGACTGGCCCTCTTGTGACTTGTCTACACCTGCCGGTGACGGTGACGGAACCCGCAGTGCCATTATCTGAAATGACAAATCACTTTGAGGGCTTTCTGAGTTCTTAGAATTTTCACCTCGGGAAAGCAAATCAAATGCACAGGAGTTAGCTGAGTGTCGCAGCACACGCCTTTAATCCCAGCAGGTGGATCTCTGTGAGTCTGAGGCCAGCCTGGTCTACACAGTGAGTCCCAGGACAGCCAGGGCTACAAAGTGAGATCCTGTCTAGAAAACAAAACAAAAACAAATAACACCCCCTTACCCCCCAACCCCCCTGCCTACCTCCCATCCCCCTCCCTCCCACCCCACCCCTGCACAGGAGCTCACTTGAGTCTCCAGCTCTGATCCCTAGGTGAGTCTGAAGGCTGGTGTGCAGACGGTGGTGTGTGGCTGGGGAAGGGAGCAGGCCATGCACACATCTGCCCGCCCCGAACGTCCCGTTAACCCAGGAGAGGAAACCGTTTCTCCAAGTCAGGCCTAGTAAACGCCTCCCTGAGAACTGAGGCCTCAGTCTTTGAACTCAGGCCGGTGCAAATGGCAGGTCTTGCCTGCCCATGTCCCCAGTGTGCTCAGGGGCGAGGAAAGAGCAGCCAGGTAGCAGACAGAATGAAAGGTACAAAGTGGCTGGGGGCCCAGGGTCAGCCTGGCCCTCAGCCTGGCCTTTCAGGCCCAAGCCAGGGCCCAGGCGCAGACAGGGGCGGGGGTACCCGGGGCCGGGAGTGGGGTGTGTGTAGGCGGGGGGGGGGGGGGGGCGGGACGGGACCTTGGACCCAGTTGCTCCGGGCCCCCGCACAGGCGCAGGTGAGGCCTGCCACCCGCTCCCCCTCCGCTAACAAAGGCGCTGCGCCCCTGCAGCCTCCAGGAGGCCGGCCTCCTTTGAAGCGCACAGCCTGGATTATTTAATATAATGGAATAGTGCAACTCGACCCATCAGAGACATAAATTTCCAGGTGTTTTAAATTTGTTTTCCCCGTCAGAATGGTAAATGACGGATAGTAAAACTCAGCACAGGTCGTGGCTGCGGGAGCAGAGCCAGCCTCGGGCTGCACTGAGGCGGCTCTGGGGTGGGCCTCGTGGCCCAGGCAGTCGGGGGGTTCACGGGAGAGGGGACTCTCCTGGGCTGGAGACTCTGAAGCCTGGAGAAGGGATTCTGCACCCAGGCTGGCCACGGGTCCTGGGCCTTTAGATCGTGGAGAGTCTCTGGCACCTAAATCTCTTGCCCCAGACATCTGTGCGAGGCAGCCAACAGCCCCTCGGGCCCCCAGGTTAATTGAGGTGCGAGTGCCTGTAACACCCATAACGAGGTTTCTATTGCCCTTGCCAAGTTCAATTACGGACGCATCTGCTTTCTGATTTTTCCAAGATGGCTTGACGGTTTCTTTTTTTTCCCCCAACTACAAAGGGACAGACTGTACAGTAGCCCTTTGCAGAAGGTAAGAAATTCTGCTTGCTTTTTCCAGACTCCTCTTTTGAGATCTGTCAGAATCCATAGGGTGGCTGCCAAGGATAGATGTTACCGCGAGTGATTCTAGAGAAATCAGATCCTTGGTCTCACTCCCCAAGTGAGACCTTCACCCCCTTTCCCTTCAAAGTCATAAAGGATGTTGACTTTTTATGAGGTGGGCTCCCCTGCCTGCTACTCAGAAACCTACTGTGATCTGTCACTTGGAATGGAGAAATCATTTCGCATGTATTTCCTGAACAGGAAGCACTGGCTCAGAGAGGTGGATACCCCAGAAGTTAGTTTAGCTGAGGAGATGAAAGAGAGGGAAAGACCTACTTATTACCAAGGCGATTATCATTCCCTATTTTTTTTTTTTCTGGGCAGGGATGCCTTGGGAGCCAACTTCCTATTGACAGTTACGTTTGCACTGAGTAGCATACTCTGTTGGTCCAGCATTACACCTGGACGTACCGATGAATGTGTATTAGTGGATGAACGGGGCTGAGAATTAGAACACAGAACCAACCGTGAGGCATTGAGGATCAGTAGCCCCCTGGGAACTTAACCACTGTTGCCCCATTGACTGGAATAGTGTACAAAGTTGTAGCTAGCAGGTGCCGGTGGAGAAGATGGTCATTAGGACCCAAGATGGTCGGGGAACGACAAACCCTTCCTGGCGCTCTGGCTTTTTGAAGGAGGTTGACCTTCAGCATGGGGGATGGGAGGTAAGTCCAAAGAGAAAGGTGAGGTACAGATGTATGCATATGAGGCCCAGTGAGAGGTGGCATTATGGAGATCACAATCCGGCGGGGTAGGACCCTGGCGTTCTGAGAAAGTTGCTAGTCCCCTCATAACCCTGCTGATGCGTTTTCAGCCTTCAGTTGCTTCTGGTGAACAGCCCCCAAGATCAAGAGGGTGTTTGGAGGTCAGCATCTCTGGAAGCAGGAAGCAGTGATTAGCAGATCAATTAGGGTCCAGCCAGTCATCGGATTATACAGAGTGGCTGTTAACTGAAGACAGACCTCCGAGAAGGCTGACCACCGCAGCTCTGCTAACCTGTGTGCTGATGACCGCTGCAGCTCCATAAGCCGACATGAAACTCCGGCAGCTCTGCCCTGCTGATGACAGAAGTGACCGTAAGAAACCTAGGAGGCCACAAGTCAAACAAATAATTTGGTTGACAAATAGGAGTATAAACAAGACCTTGATAAATGAACTTCCTAATAGTTCTCTGTTTGTTGACATTAGCTGAGCTTGGTCATTAGCCCTGATGTCGCCTATATATACTGTGTAGTATAACATCTATTCATTCTGGGACTGCTTTTGCACATTCCACCCGTGTGGTTTATGTCTCTGGGTCTCATGTTCTTGGTTCCAAGAAATTGTTATGTGCTCAGGAGAGTGGACCCTGCGCCCTGCCGGGACCAAACAGTAGAGCTGGCCCTGGTGGTGTG